GGCATGTAAGTGTGTCAATTGCTAACTATACAAAGCTCGGCTAATATAGAGCGGTGTGGGTCATGTGACTTAGCGTCCTCGTGACAGGTGACCGGAATATTCTCAACAAGTCTTATAATATTCGATGGGGACGGTGAGGTTGGTGTTGAAGGCTCCATAACAATAGTATATAAGTAGGTTGTTAAGGACTTGATTGTTCTATGTAAGTAGAAGACTTACCTTGATCTTAATGACTCATATTGTGCTAAATTTTCTGGCTAGATTAGTCTAAGATCTAGTCACGTGGACCTATTTATAGCCGGACCGGTCCGATCATCTAGACCGGTCCGACCACGGTCTCAAAAAATCGCCAGACCAGACCAAGTCTTGGCGGTCTAGACCAGACCAAGACCAAGTCAGACCAGACCATTCCGATCACTGGTCCCACCGTTCCTCATCTTCGCTGGCCAGTACCACCTATCAGCCTGGTATAAGGAAGCTGAGATCCCACGCGACTGGGCGATCGCAGTCAGCGATAATGGCTGGACGAATAATGAGCTTGGAGTTGAGTGGCTAAAGCACTTCAACGCTCACACGCAGGCTCGTAGTGTAGGCGCGCGTCGCCTGCTTATTATTGATGGCCATAAGAGCCACCAATCTCTAGAGTTCCAGGAGCTCTGCAAGGAGAACAATATCCATACGCTCTGTATGCCTCCTCACTCATCTCACCTACTCCAGCCACTTGATGTTGGCTGCTTCTCGCCATTGAAGCGCGCGTACAGCCGTGAGGTGGAGAGCCTTATGCGCAACCACATCAACCACATCACCAAGCTAGAGTTTCTGCCAGCGTTCAAGGCAGCATTTGATCAAGCGTTCACGCCAGCCAATATCTGCTCAGCCTTCCGCGGCGCAGGCCTTGTTCCTCTACAACCAGAGGCTGTTCTATCAAAGGTAGATGTACAACTGCGTACACCTACTCCTCCAGCAGCTCTGCCAGAGGCTCCCTGGGTAGCTCAAACGCCGAGCAACGCGCGTGAGCTTGAGGCTCAGTCAAGCCTAATACGTGAGCGCGTGCGCCAGCACAAGAGCTCATCACCAGCTTCAATTATTATGGCGATTGACCAGCTAAAGAAGGGCGCCGAGGTGATGATGCTCTCTGCTGAGCTGATGCGCGATCGGATCTCTAGTCTTGAGAAGGCCAATAGCGCAGCCTCAGAGCGTAGGCGGCGCTCTAAAAGGCGTATACAGAAGCATGGAGTACTCACAAAGGGAGCTGGAGAGGATATACTGGCTCAAAATGAGGCTGACCAGCAGATTGCTCATGAAGAGCGTCAAGGAGGAGCGCGATCAGGCCTCAGCCAGCGGGCTCAAAGGCGCTGCACTAGGTGCAAGGAGACTGGGCACAACTCGCGCACATGCAAGACTGATACTATTAATATAGAGTAATCTACTGTATCAATATCTAGCAATAATATTATCGCGTTGTTGAGATGCATCGCTTTAAAGTTGCAAAAGTTGGTGGGGTGCGCCGCTCGCCCGTGTGCGCCGCTCGCCCATGGATCATGTTACAGAAATTACCACCAGCTCAGATTCCAGTGTACTGCGGTATATATATTACGATGTCAGTGTGTAGGTAGGCATGGAGACAGGCAATTACCGACTACTTCAAACCGGGGTGTCAGAAGCCGCAGCTTTGTCGTCGGTAACATCAGCAGCAGTCGGTTTCCCCGACGAGCGCGCATCCGCCCATCAGACCACCGGCACAAAAAAGATGGAGATGCACGCCACGATCAAGCCTACCTGGAAAGACTTGGTGAGCGCCTTGTTGTAAGCCCGCACAGCTTGTCTACGGGCACGGGTTTGTGGAGATCGGTGGCGCCCGTGTCCACGACGATGCGGGGGTCGATCGGGAGGCCCGCGCTGACCATGTTGCTCATCAAACTGGTGGTGGAGATGTTTCATGTTACGCTGTTGAAGACGGTAAGTTACCTCGGAGCATCTACGTAAATGAAGAGCACAAACGCGACGCCCGTCGGCACGTCTTGCAGCGGCAGTGAGACTTCGCTCCATGGGGAACCGGACCGGCACGTTATAGCGAGACTCATCGCGGCGACTCCAGCAAATCTGTATGGCAACAAAGGCCAGCAGTAGATTACCAAAGGCGGCGCATAGAGAAAGGACGCGCCCGTTGCCCCATGCATGCGCAGTGCCGGCGCATTGAGGTGCGGGCAGCAGACAGACAATGCAGGTTACGAAGGTGATGGTGCCAAGCGTGTCAAACATCATGAGATGTCTCCCACCGCGTTCTTGTCGCGAGCCTCCAAGGCGGCATATGCAATAGAAAGACTAAGATGACAGCTACTCCGGCACAGCTAACGCGATCGGCGAAGGCGCCACCCAGCAAGGCACCGACGACCAAAGCGATTCCAAACATGCCCTAGGTATGACGGTGAAAGCGAAAACAATGATCACGGTACCGCTGAAGAGGCCCGACGCGCCTAAACCCGCAATGGCGCCGCCGAAGTTGAGAGCAACCGAGTTGGGCGCCGCGCCGCAGCGGATCCGACCTCAAAGATGAGCAACGCGCCAAGGAAACCCCATTTTATGTTCAGACATGAGTACAGATCGCCGAGCACAGGAAGTAGGCCGGTTTGTACCAGCCGACATCGTCCAGAGAGCGAAAGCGGCTTGTGGGAATGGCAGTGGCGATGATGGTGTTGTCGAGAGAATACTGGATACGTACCGTGACGGTAGCGTACATTCTAGCTATCCATCGAGGTAGGGTGGATGGGGTCGCCGACAACACTGAAATAAGATGACACTAAATAGCTTCGCACCCTCGGGGAATTCGGCTTCCTGGACCTAGGCGCTTTCCATGGTCCGCAACAGCCGTGTGGGCATGGCCATGAGCATGACTGCCGTCCGAGGCTGGCGCAGTTGGGTTTTTTTCCAGGGTAGAGCCAGGCGGTAGAGTTGGAAAGTCAGAGAGAGTGAGTGATTCTTTCTACATGGCGGATGAGTTGAGATTAAATGTCGCTTAGACAATCTAGTAGGTGGGTAGGTGTGTAGCTATTAAACGGTTAAATGCAAGAGACGCTGTAAGCTCACCGGGTTGCGGAGGAGAGTGTGCGACTTTGTCTACTGGAAATAAAAGGTAGGCAACATATTGATTGGTTGATTGAATAATAGGTTCCGTTGTCGGGACGTGTATCAATTGCAGTTTTCTCATTACAACGGAAGGTGCAGCTTCCGAACCCTTCGTTAGCCAGCCAATGTGCAAAGGTGCACAAGTAGGCTTTGTTACAAAGCGTATGCAGGTACGTGCTTATTTTGTAATCATGTCCTATGAGCAGAATTGGAAGGACAGTTTTCTATACTAGTCAGTCATATCCGGCACGGCCCAGGCCCAGATTGTCCCCACAAGGTCTACCTGTATACCCCCTCAGCAAAGCGTCCAACTAAAGGTAAGCCATCGAGTTTCCGTACATTCAAAACGGATCGGTACGTATTGTAGTTGCTGTATTTAAATCCGTGTGTATGTTGTTAGACGTCTATTACTAAGACTGTTGAGAATATCTGGGTTCAGTCCAGGTAGAAGGTGCTTGGGGATCACATGATGTGCTGGTGTGGCAGGCACTGCCAGGTGGGCAATAGCACCCACCACAATAGAGTGAGACCTTGACACCGAACCACGATAGTCAATACAATACGTTGCAGCCACCCCGCCTTGTCCCTCCTCCCACTCGGTTATCCATAGTAGTCACACTACTAGAGGGACCTTGTTCCAATAAAGACCATATTTCTGTGAACGGTTTGTAGGTACTTTATTCCAGCTACCTAGTCCGGATGCTATTTACAGTCAAGATAAGGAGAAAGAGAGGGTGGTAGCAGCTATTCTGCTTTGTTTGGCTTGGCGCACGTCCCACATGCTCTTGGCGGCAGGAGTAATAGAAGGAAGGAAGCGACTAGGCTGGCAGCCTAGTCATGTGACCTCGGGCTCAGCCCGTTACAATTTCGGCTGATCGCTGTAGTAGATCCTTGAATTCCAATATGATTCCAGATAGAAGCGACAAAGCCTTTTGAGATACCCCTAAAGAAAAACAGGGCCACTGACAGCTCAGTTTGTATGATCGTTTTGGCCCGTGCGATTCAGTCACTGGTTTATATTTTCCGTTTGGGGGTGCTTTACAACCACAAGAACGGCAGCAGGAGTGGATGGAACCGGTGGTAGGGTTGGGGTGACGCTGATATGATAAGTCCTTACATACAGGGGTAACCTTAAACACCGGATGGTCCTTCAACACCCTAGAAAATAACAAGATCGTACCAGAGTTGTAATCCTGGGATGTTGGCCCGACGATGTTCATTCATCCCCCATCGGAGCGATGTGCTGGCTCATCCGAGGCGCGCATGCTATCATGCAGTGTTCTATCGTGCACATCCTTCGCTGCATCTCATATAGAACATATTGGCATGCTGACTTTTTGCATACGTGCTTGAGCAGTCCGCTCGTAATAAAGCTAGTAGGGCAGGCGCCTCGGTTTTACTGGTAACTTGGTTGTAGAATACATAATATCAACAAGCCGCTTGAGCCAAAACGCTGGTGTGCAACGTATTCTAGACAGGTCTTGGAAGTTGTTCAAGACATCAATTCTGTGCTATTAAGAAAAATAATTCGTCGTTCCATAACTACACATTGCGTAACTTTCATTATATAAATCAAATCCCATGGATTCGCTCACCTTCCGCTAGCAGCCACAGAACTCATCCACGCGACGCTTTTTTGCGAAGATTCCAGAACGCGTGCTGAGCGCATTAGCCTTAGAGATCGCTGAAGCTTTCTTTTGACTTCCCGCCAAGCGAGAGGTTTGCGAGGCCATTGCGCATTTCTCAGTATCGTGTCCTCCTGGAGGGTCTTCCCTAGTTAGGATAAAGGGTTGGCCGGGCAATTTTCTGCTCACAATAAGGTTCTTACCAGTCTCTTCGATCACGAGTATTGATAAATTCGCAAGTTGCCCTTTCGAACGGCGCGTTGTCCCAAGGATCTGGGCAAGTACCCCTGTGATAGAATAGATGGAACCTCCCGCGCTTTTGGCAACGAATTCGAGATATTATATCTCATTACGTCTGATTAAACTATCTCGTTCTACCCTTCCGTCCTCTCTACACATGTGTTCCCAACGTCGTCGCAAAAATGGCCACACAAACCAACCTACTATGACTCCCATCAGAGAATCAAAGACGCCGAAGCCCCTCTTGGGAGATGGCCCCTGCATGCCGGTGAACAGTAGCGATGCTGACGACGAGTCTTTACAGATGATGAACTCTCCTTTATTGACTGCGTCCACGATCCCCAACGCGACTTGCTCCGAAGATGGATAACGAGCGACGAGCTCTTCAAGGGTACCCTCAAGCCCCTGCATACGCTTCGTCAGCGCAGTCTTGGTCTGTTGTTCCTGGTAGAAGCCGGGTAATACGAAGTCGCCTGGAAAAGCGATATGAACGCTGTATGCCGATGCAGCACATGAGTATCGTAACATTTCCAATCGGAGTGTGTCTGCAAGGGCCCGAACGGCTGCCTTTGCAGCTATGATTACGTACACGTGTCAGTGATTCAGTGACATCTAGTGGCAAGACCTGTATTAGGTTGATTGTACTTACGAGTGTACGCGATGGAGCCAGGCAAAGCCACAAAAGCAGCTGCGCTGCTCACTATGACGATCTGGCGAGGTATAGGCTTCGATGTCTGTCCACACTCGTTGTTCCTGTCGTCCTGGACCCAAAGATCGAGGGCCGATTTTGCTAGATACGCAGTGGCAAAGTAGTTGTTGCGCATGCAGTCCTCAATTTGTGAGGATGTGATTTCGGTGAAGAATCCGTTCTGGGCATGGTTTCCACCCGCGGCGCAGTACAGCATGTCGGGAACACGACCCTGTTTTCGGAAAGCGTTATCAACCTTCTTGATGTCAATATTACTACACTCTTGAGGTAATGGTACGAGGGGAAGATTACTCACTTGAACGTAGTCAGAAAGATCGACAACGACAGCTTTGATCTTCTGGAGACTGTCGCGACATGATCTCCGTATTTCTTCGGCGGCGTCGTCTAACGGACCTGGACTGCGTCCGAAGATTGTTACATGAGCGCCTGGTTTTTGTCATCAGCGAGGCAACTTTGGAAGGGTTGATAAGGGATAATTCATCACTCACCTCGAGCTGCTGAAATCTTTGCCACGGCTTTACCCAAACCACCAGCTCCTCCAGCCACAAAGACAGTCTGCAAATCACATCAGGGCCTCAATTACCTAGAGGTTTGGACCAGGCACGGAGCTTTTGGATGCTTGCTTACCTTGTTTTCATACTTCACTGCACCCATTTTGTCTGGTCCATTCCGCTGCATACGTAGGTATTCTCAGTTACCGAACGATTATTCATCGGCGGGCACCTAAGGTTCTAGGACAAATGAATCAGAATGTATTTTCTGCCGTACTTGCACAAAATAACCCGGCAATGTTGTGCTCGCATGTATTCCGCGAAACCTCGCCGATCAGCCCGAGCTCGAAGCGTCGGATCCGAAAAACGTACAGTACAAAGGCATCTAGCCAACAAGGGCGCCTTTTCCACCCTTCAAGCCGGGTTCCGAGCGCCGACGCAGCAACTCTATCGAAACGCAAGGTTGCCGCTGCGCGCGGAAGCGAGCATTGCAAAGTAGGGTACTTTGCGCTTCAACCCATTGTTACCCAACTTTGGCTGCACAGCATCGCTTTTCTTCACAGTCTCGACGCATTCTGTCTCACAGCCATACAACCATATCCGCGAACAGATCCAACCATGGCTACCAAAGCAATGCTCACAGCCTGGATCCAGGGCCAGAAGCTCAAAGCACCCCAAATGAAAAACGCAGCGGTGTTCCAGCGAAACCTAGAAGAGGCTCTAGACGTTCGCAGAACCGACCACGCTCTATTCACACCAAACATCAGTGCCTGGAAGAGCGGGGAAGGAGTGGACTTTTGTTCCAACGACATCCTTCATCTGGGATCCACGGGCCAGATCCGTGCTGCCTTTGAGAAAGAGTTGGCCAGTCATCCAGATTACAATCTCTATTCTGATGGTGTCCGCATGCTGGACGGCAACTACGAATACATTCAACAGGTCGAACGCGAAATTGCAGAATTCCAAAGGCCGAGACCGCTTTGATCGTAAACTCTGGCTTCGAGGGCAACATCGCAATCTTTGGTGCGATTCCGCGTCCTGGTGATGCTATCGTCTACGATGAGCTCGTACATGCCAGTACACTGGACGGTATGGTGCACAGTTTGACCCAGGTTAAGCACTCCTTTCGCCACAACGACTGCGATTCATTTCGGGAACTTCTTGCGACGATCATTGATTCTCAAAGGATGATTCGTGATGGCACAAGATGTATTCTTGTGGCAGTGGAATCAGTCTACAGCATGGATGGCGATGTTTGCCCGCTGCGGGAGCTTGTCGATATCGCGAAAGAAGTTTGCCCAAAGGGAAACATAGAATTCATCGTCGACGAAGCCCATGGTACAGGTGTTTTGGGACCTCGCGGTGCTGGCTTAGTGAACGCTTTGGGAATGGAGAAAGAAATTGCCGTCCGGCTCCATACGTGCGGCAAGGGGCTGGCGTCTACTGGTGGTAAGCATTGTCAGATGTGGGAGGACCAAGCAGACATGAGGGAGAAGGTTGTTGTATTAAGTGAGTAACAGAGAGGGACTATATACATGAGTAGCGAGCTGAGTAAGCACGCACTAGTGGGTCATGTGAGTACATCATTCACAGTGTACTTAGTGCACAAGGTGCCAGGTCTGACAGAGTACTAGCTCCTTCGCATCTAGTATGAGACTGAGAAGCGACATGGGCCCAATATAGAACTCATGGCCATCGACGTCACGCACGAAGCGACGCCGGAGTCCATGGCGAGAACTGCCTGGGATACTAACAGCTGTACCTTCGCCGACAGCGGCACACGTCCACGATGACATAGCGCCATTGGCAGAATGGCTGTAGCGACCTTGGGCTGTTTGGAGCCGTTGTAGACCGGTCTGAACGGCAGTAACACCTTGCTCAAGCCGCTCAAGCTGAATTTCGATTCGATCCACAACGTTCTTACTGCTTCCTCTGTCAGCTATAGTAGCAGAATTCCAAAGATCTCAACCACCCACAATATCTTCAATTGGCTCTGCCTTCTGCCGTGTCCATCCCATATACAGTCTTGGCCTAGCCTGTCGCAATTGGCACAGATAGTTCGTTCTCTTCCACAACGTACTTTCCTGGCACGACAAGGATCACAAACTACGGCGGTTCAGATACTAGTCCGCAAGCGCAATGGTCGGGACTGTATATTCACTCACCATTGTAACCATTCGACTTAGAAGACAAGTCCTATTCGAGTTAGCCGGAGCATCAATGCGCTGTACTAGTCATGAGCGCATACATACCTCGTCTGATGGGGTTCTAGCTCGTTTCCGGGACTCCATATGTACGGTGAGACGTTCTTCGGCATACAGCGACACGAATGAAACATTCACAGCGTATATAAATATTTCAACACTCGAAGGATTGCATTCGGGGATAGCTCTCGATCTAACAGCAGTTTTAGAATGATAGCGTGCAACTTCGCAGGCCGTTCGTAGTCCAAGACGTTTCCTAAATCAGGAAACAAGGCGTAATCACCCGCAGCTTCTGCCGTTATGCGGTCATTTTTTAGCCTCACAATGTACCCACTTGCTCTGCCTATGTGAACTCTACCCCGTTAATTTATCTTCATGGGGCAGACTTTGGTAACGTAGTTGAACATTAATTTGCAGAGATCTTCCAACTAATGTCCAACCGCTGCTTACGCAGAATTTTGATGAACGGCAGTTCCTCGGAACTTTTAACAGAAAACGCTGGGCGCAAGTGAAGGATTGCGCGGGCGGCTCTTGCCTTCGCCCCGACCCGGCAGAGTCCTTGCGGGCCCGGTTCTCAGCCGATTATAATTATGGACTGTAGTGGATACAAATTTACAGAGATAAGGGTGGGGCGGCAGACCATTCCGTTCGCCTCAGTCCGGCGGAGCCCCTGCTAGCAAAGCCCAGGGGGCTTAGAATTATGTGCCGGATAGCGTAAGATGAGGTGAGACTAGCGGAAAAATAATTCACCACATTTGAACATTACTCCTTCATTCAGCGTCCGGAGCCCCACAATTGTTGAATTCCAGAGGATTTATTCATAGCTCTAGCCGTCGCCGCTGTGGCACAGTTGTGCCGTCGATGACCGAGACTGTTCAGCTTTTTTCCGCCCAATCCAAAACATCATACATGTAGTCCGAGCGCACCCCTGACCATTGATCGTCTCATCCGGACACAGCGACGTTGACCTCAATCACCCGGGCATTCACTGTACAAGCCAATCCATTCAACTGCAATCAGAGAAGCCTGTTGACAGCTCAACTTTGTAAGATTTTTGACTGCCTCAACGATGGCCAAAGAAGAAAAGCAGTCCGAGGAAGTCCCTCCTTGCGAAACTCTCACCGCAACAACATCACCGCAGCAGACCGGAGACTCTCCGTGTACTGAGGAACTACGAAAGAAGTTAATCGCCTTCTATCTCACATTCGTTGCTATTCTCGTCAATCTCTTCTTGTATGCTCTCGATGCAACCACATTAGCAGTAGCGACACCAGTGAGCATCCACCCACCTAGCTTCTCATAGCCATTGCTGAACACCGTAGGCCATTGCCGCAGATTTGAACGGTACTTCCCTAGAGTCGTTTTGGGCTTCCATCTCCTATCTCCTCTCCGTCGCCGTCACTCAACCACTTTACGCAACACTATCGGATGTCCTCGGTCGGAAGCCTTGTCTTTATGCCGCGTATGCCTTCTTCTTTACCGGTTTGATGGTGTTCGCCCTTGCAAAGACCATGAGGGTGGTCGTAGCGGGTCGTGTTTTACAAGGTCTAGGCGGCGGGGGTTTAGACGTGCTCAGTGAGATCATGATCATTGTCACCGATATGACGACACTGCAGGAGCGCTCGCTATACCTTGGACTTATGGCCATCCCTACCGCGCTCGGCAGTGTCCTAGGACCGACTGTTGGTGGTGTGTTCAGTAGCCTTGTTAGCTGGCGTTGGATTGGATGGATCAATCTGCCCCTCCTGGGAATCTCCTTTCCCTTGACCGTAGTCTTTCTGAAACTACGATCGCTCCAACATTCACCGCTGTCCGAGTTGCGGCGCTTGGACTGGACTGGAGTATTTCTATTTACCGCATGGATCATATTGTTTGCGCTTCCGTTGAGCTGGGCAGGCAATCTTTACGCCTGGGATTCCTTCCGTACTCTTTTACCGCTTTTGTTCGGCGTGACTATTCTCGTAGCCTTCGCCTTCTATGAGGGCAAGGCAATCACTCCTATCATGCCGCATCGAATTTTCAAGTCGAGGACGGCATCAGCTACATTGCTCAGCGTATTCATACACGGAGTCTCCTTGTATTCCTTGCTTCAATGGCTACCACTTCTGTATCAGGCCATCATGGCCAAGACAGTGTTAAGCTCGGCAGTAACTCTTCTTCCAACAAGTGCTACGAGCGTAGTAGCGGCCGTTGGAGGAGTCACTATAGTTGGCTTGGCCAACATCGGATATCGTTGGAGTATTCGTGTCGCTTGGGCATTCACAGCGGCAGGAACCGGCCTTCTCGTCTTGCTGGATGCTGATTCAACTGCCTCAATCGCCTATGGTCTACCGGTGATTTGGGGAGCCGGTATTGGTCTATTGCTCCGCCTCCTATTTCTTCCGCTGCAAGCAAGCGTAGTTCGCGTTGACGATACCGGACTGGCCATTGGAATCCTCTTGACCTTCCGTCTTCTTGGCGGTCTTGTCGGGTTATCGATATGCTCCACGATCTTCAGCAGCTACTTCTCACGCTCTCTCGACTCCATCGGTAGTCTGCCGATATCTTTGGAACACTTGCGAGACCCTGAGGCTGCTATAGCGTTCATACCGCAACTAAGAGCGCTCGATCTGCCGGACACAATTCTCGAGCCTATTATACATGCCTACCTGACCTCTATTAGAGCAGTTGTGTACGCAATGACTGGTTTTGCAAGCTTGGGGTTTTTGTCGTCTTTCTTTATCCAGGAGCTGACTCTGGAGAAAACCGAAATGGGACAGCAGCAATTCGAAGATTGAGTTACCACTTCCACGGTTGGTGACAGATATGGAGGATGGCGGTTCGTCGCGAAGCGGCGGAGCATTTCTGCGCTGAGCGTTTTGTAGTAATAAACATAAACTAATAGCATGCTCAATGGACGTGCTACGACCTTAGGATACTACTCAGTCATGCGTGCGAAATCTCTGTTTATGCCAACCTTGGAGCCTTGGAAGATGGTGATCGTGGCTTCCGAGCTTGTACCAGTAGCCGTAGCTTGAGCCCTGTTATGCCTGGTCGATGACGCATTGAGTTCGTTGAGCCCACGCCCAGGCATCCGAGCTTCAACAATTTTTACTTACATATGCAGCCAGCCAATTTCACAGTCACTAGGGGGACGAGTAAAAGTTGACACGCCAAGCCTATTCTGGCCAGATAGCAGGCTAATCTGCTTGTGGCCACTAGGCTTGGCAAATCCACGCTGTCAGCTTTTTCTCGTCCCCCGGTGGAGTAGCAATTCTACCGAGCGTCGGAGTCGTCTCCACTAACATCCCTGATGTGCAGCGCATCGTACCTGGTCATAATCCCGGCACAGCGGCCGCCGTTCTGTCGCCATGCTCGCCGAACGGAACCCGTCCAACCAGTGTTCGGAAATTCGGCTTGTAAGCACCGGGCGGCTAACCTCAGGCTAACATAGATGCGATCGAGCTCATGAAACTGTATTGTCGGCATAGGTTTACCGTATATGTAGGCTGCGGCAGCGAAAGTCCGACGGCGAGCTCATGGGTGGCTATCAGCTGTGGCTGAGCCATCGGCGTTGCGGCATGCTCAGATCATCCGTAAACAAGCGGCATTGTGCAGCATGCTATGATGTAGCTGATACACCCTGAACTCAGGCAAACATAAGTGCATTCACTTGAAGTCAGCTGCTGTCTGAACGCAAATCAAGCGTTTACCTTTTTCCCCTGGCCTGAATCTTGGGTTCTATTATCCATACAAAATGGGCGATATGGAGATTCCCTCGAATAGCATGCCTCAAGCAGATACCGCCAATGGCCATATCCACAACGAGTCCATCAGTAACGGTCATGCCAGCAACGGTTTGCGGTCTGACGCAGCAATGCCCATCGCCATCTGCGGCATGGCACTACGACTTCCCGGTGGCCTAACTTCGCCCAAGGATCTCTGGAATTTCTTGCTCGCAAAGGGAGATGCCCGTGGACGTGTGCCCAATTCGCGCTACAACGTATCAGCCTTCCACTCCACTGATGGAAAGCCTGGCTCGGTCGCTACAGAGTACGGGTACTTCCTCGATGATTCCGTGGATCTAGGCGCTTTGGACACATCTTTCTTCAGCATGACACGCAGCGAAGTTGAGCGTGCAGATCCACAACAACGTCTGCTGCTAGAGGTAGCTCGAGAGTGCTTTGAAGACGCTGGTGTCACGAACTGGAGAGGAAAGACCATCGGCTGCTACGTCGGCAGCTTTGGCGAAGACTAGATCGAACTATTTGCCAAGGAGCCACATCAGTATGGAATCCATCGTGTTGTTGGAGTCGGCGACTTTGCCCTCTCTAACCGTTTGTCTTACGAGATGGACCTTCAAGGACCCAGGTACGTAGAAATCGGCTTTTATCTCTTCCTGACCGTATAGTAACAAGTCTCACAGTATGACTCTTCGTACAGCTTGCTCGTCAGCTCTCACATGCTTGAATGAAGCCTGTATGGCGATATCCCGCGGAGATTGTGAGGCAGCCCTTGTAGGCGGTGTCAATCTCATTCTCGAGCCAGGAATGACGATTGCCATGACAGAACAAGGAGTCTTATCCAAAGACGGTAGCTGTAAGACGTTCTCCGCAGATGCAAATGGATATGCTCGTGGCGAGGCTATCACGGCTATTTACGTGAAGCCCTTGGCCGATGCAATTTGCGACGGAAATCCTGTGCGAGCAGTCATCAGGGGAACCAGTCACAACGTCGACGGCAGAACACCTGGAATGAGTCAGCCAAGTACCGATGCTCAAGAGAAACTTATCAGAAGAGCCTACGAAGTAGCCGGTATAACAGACTATAACGCTACTGCTGTGGTGGAGTGTCATGGCACAGGAACCGCAGTTGGAGATCCAATCGAGGCCAAGGCAGTGGCACGTATCTTTGGCGAGGAAGGAGTTCACATCAGCTCGATCAAACCAAACCTTGGTCACGCAGAAGGTGCTTCTGGCTTGGTCTCTGTTATCAAGATGGTGCTAGCTCTTGAGAACAGGACGATACCGCCCAATATCCGCTTCACATCGCCAAATCCGAGTATCCCCTTTGAATCCGCAAAATTGACGGTACCCGTGGAGGCGATGCCCTGGCCTACAGGAAAGCTACAGCGAGTGAGCGTCAATTCTTTCGGCATAGGTGGAGCCAATGCGCATGTCATTCTTGATTCAGCGTCGAGATTTCAAGCGCAGCCCGTCGACAGTTACAGTGCAAGAGGGCCACAAATTCTCCTGCACTCCGCCAACACCATTGCTTCTCTGGATCGGCTGGCAAAGAGCCATGCCCAATTTGCGCAGGAAAATCCTGTCAAAGTCGGTGACATGGCCTACACACTCGCGTTCAGACGAGAGGCGCTGCCTCACCGATCTTTCACCATCGTGAAGGACGGCGGTGTGACCGCGGCCTCCACTCCAGTCAAATCCGACCCTTCTTCCACGCCCGACGTTGTAATGATCTTTACCGGTCAGGGTGCGCAGTGGCCACTGATGGGCCGTGAATTGCTCCGAGGCAATACAGTCTTCCGAGCCAGTATACAAGCCCTCGATGGCTATCTTAAGGCTGTACAGGGAGAGGATGCGCCGGATTACTCAATCGAGGAGGAGCTGCTGAAAGCCGGAAAGAAGAGCCGAGTTGGAATGGCAACTCTGTCACAGCCTTTTGTCAGCCCTCAGGGGGTGTGTCAACTAGAATGTTCTACTATCGTCACAGCTACGTAACACACTGCTGATCTGGAATGCTCCAGATACTCTACTTCATGTATATAGTCGCTCTCTGCAGCTCTCTCAATAAAACAACCTTCTCTCTTATCTCTCCTCCGATCCAACAGTTATGAGCCCGGTATCCCCGCAATAAGCTGCGATATTCAAACGAGATTGTTTACTCTATTTACACAGTTCACGTTGTTGTATACGCTGTTCTTGTGTCTTGTTGTAGCGTTGAAACAAGGTGTCTCACGCCCTCTTTTTGAGATCTATTCTCACGTCCTTTGAGATCACTTCTCGAAGCTTCTCTGCCGCTTAGCAAGGCAGCTCTTTTAGCTATTATAGCATCCTTAAGCGCTCGGGACGATTAAGTTGTTAGTCGCGCATTAGTTATCCTTAAGAACTAGAGCAATTAGAAGCTCTAGTACTCCTTAAAGAAGGAGTTCGCCACCGTCAAAGGTGTGTGGGAATACTGCGATCCTTCCATAAACAAGCTACCTCTAACTGTCGATAACGAGCTATTAGACACTACTTTAGACAGTGCGTGGAGGAGGTGGGAGATCAAGACAAATACTTAGAAGGCTACCCTTAAGGCTATAAGAGAGGTTAACCTTAAAATTACACGGACGGTAGCTCGATTAAAGCTACATCTTATTACTAACCTAGATCTAGACGTACGATTACGTCTTAGAACACTTCAGGATCACTTTCGGATCACTAATTAACAGCAAATTCTAGAGCTTTCTTCGCGATACGCTGCTATTTAGCAGAAGCGGAGGAACTAGAACGTTAATACGTAGCTAAACAAATATTCTCGAATTACGTCTCTCTGCTAATTAGAAGATATAGCTAAGATAAAAGGGACACGTCTATAGTGGGCCTTAGTGTGAGGGACGTCAATAGTTGAGATGACCGTATCTGTATTAAGTACTAAGTGAGATATTGCGTGCAGGTTCGAAGACCTGCGCGGGTCGAACTTTGGTGTTCGGCTGTGGCCTTCGCTTAAGGCGCACGGGCCACCTCGCTTACTAGAGGTCGCGGGTTTGATCCATGACACTACCCCCCCAAAAAAGAGAGCAAGTTCCAACGCTCGAACTGCCTTTTTTTTTTTTTTTTTTTTTTTTTTTTTTTGCCTAAAATTGTATACAAAGGAGATACCTATATCGCAAAACTGCTGCATACCAAGCGTGTCGCTTGCAGTGTCCATTCCATTACTACATTCTATTCCCGTTGTCTGTGCACAGTAATTATGGATCATCATCGTGGCGTGGTGACCTTAGCATCTTGTCTTAACAATAGTAACTTTGACAGTCTAGTCCTTGCCACGAGCACAGCGTCTATAAGTCCTATTTCTAGCACAACTTATCGACGCCCTCGATTATAGCAAGCACAACTATATTATCCCAGTCTTATTGTTGGTCTTGTCTGCTGTTGTCACCACTGGCTAGACACGACTAAGAGCGTGAAGTCGCATAACCAGCATATCTTGTTTGCCTGTGAGAGACTTAAACTTCCTGTGCATAGGCGGCTTGTTTGGGTGATCAAGGTGATAGCGCGTCACAGTGTCAGCGGAGTCCGCGAGGTTCATGTATGGTTCCCATGAAGGATTGTCGGGGCCGTCGGGATAGTTTGCCCATCGTACCAAGTATTGGAGCAGGCCTTGGGTAGTCTTGCCCTTGCGACCGCGGGCGGCAGGATCCTTAAGCTTCTTATTAATGCGGCAGTCTTCGATTGCTTCGACAGTGTATTCAGTGTCGTCTTCCACTTCTGGGTCGAACTCCGCAGGGACCTCAGGATCTTGTGTTTGTCCAGTAAGTGGGTTGTCGTCAACCAAGTGTAAGAGCCATGGGTGGAAGACATTGTGGATGCGCTTCATGTTAGCGGGAAGATCTAGCTCGTATGCGGTGTTGTTGATGGCGCGAACGATAGTAAAGGGACCGCGGTTCTTTAGGTCTAATGACGCGGAGGGTCTTTTCGTCCGTAGGTTGCGAGTGTCCAGCATCACTTGGTCGCCGACTTTGAAAGCTGGTGCGGGTAGCCTTCCTTCATTGGCGTATTCTGCTTGTTTTGCTTGCGCCCATTGCATTGAAGCTCGCAGCTCGTCCTGCAGCGTTTTCATGCGATCCGCGAAAGCGTCAGCGTTGAGACGTTCTTGTTGCGCAGGCGCAGTCAAGGTCGCAGCGCCTGGCGCTGGCGTAGGGGGTTCAATGCCACTCCGTGGGTTGTATCCTTTAGTCGCGAAGAAAGGCGACTTGCCAGTTGTGCTGCTGGTGCTGGAGTTGGCTTCGAATTCAGCTATTGGCAGAAAAAGCGCCCAGTTATCCTGCTCGTAGTTGACATAGGCGCGTAGGTATTGCTTGAGGTAGGAGTTCGCGTTCTCGGTTTGTCCGTCAGTCTGGGGATGGTGAGCGGTCGAGAACTTCGGGCGTACACCCAGACGCTGGCATAGTCGCTTCCAAAAGTAAGAGACAAACTGCGCTCCACGGTCTGAGATAATCTCCTCAGGAAAGCCCTCTTCTCGCCAGATGTATTCGATAAAGGCTACCACAAGGGCGTCGGTGGTCATACTAGCCATTGGGATGAACTTCTTCTTCTTGGTGAGTCGGTCGACTACCACGAGGATGTCAGTGAACGTTTGACCGTTATGCCTGCAGGGCGGCAGGTGAGTGATGAAGTCTATAGAGATGCTGGACCAGTATTTGCTGGGGATTGGTAGCGGATGCAGCAGCCCATGCTTGCCTTCTCGGTATGCTTTGCTCCTCTTGCAAGTCAGACACGCGCGTACATATTGCGCGACGTCCGTGGTCATCCTAGGCCAGTAATACCATCGCGACAGCTTGGAGTATAACTCATGTTTGCCGCTGTGGCCACCGCAGACGCTCTTGTGGGCTTGTTCAATAACTTGGGTGCGAACGGCGCCGGCGGGGACGTAGACCTTGTTGCGCACATAGAGTAGTTCGTCGGTGATCTCGCAATCGCCAAGTTCCAGCCTGAGGTGCTCTTCTCCATGTATGAGTTTGAACGGCAGGCGTCGTAGGCCGTCCTTCTTGGCTTTGACGATCGCCTGCAACACCTTATCATCCTTGTATGCTGCCTTGATATTGTCAAGCAGAGCATCAATAGTCAGCTCGTTGTTCGGTGGCGCGGGCACATTAATTGCGGCGGGCGTCTCGTTTGGTATCGCGGGCGCACTAGTTGCGGCGATTGGCGTTGTAATAGGCGAGATTGTAACGTTATCGGCTGCACAGAGCGATCTTTTGCTCGTGAGGTCATGGGAGACGCCGTTTTCTCCCCCCTCAGGCTCGATGCCAGGCAGTGCGGCGAGGACGGCGTACCGTTCAGAGATGTTGTCTTCCTCGCTAAGTTGATACAGCATTTGCGCGACTGCGGGGATAGAGTCAGGAAGGGTGCGCTGTGTGATGAGATTTGCGAGGTAGACTGCATGGCGAGAACCTCCATCCTTGGCGATGTTGATGGTGCAGACGCGCGCTTCAGGATCGACTTGGTCAGGCTTGATGACTACCTGGAGTTGATGCCGACGGCGGATGTCGTCGGGTGACTCGGGTAGGTCGCCAGGACGCCTTGTCAAAGCGTCTGGCTTCGTGCCCTGCTTGCCTGGCCTGTACTTGATAATGAAGTTGAACTCTGCCATGAATTCCGCCCAACGGGCTTGGCGTCTGTTGAGGCGCTTTGTGGTCATAAAGGTCTGAAGGGCTTGATGGTCAGACAACACCATAATAGGATCATCAGTACCAGACAGCTCAAAGCGCCATTGCTCAAAGGCGTTGACAATAGCTAGGAGTTCCTTGTCGTATATCTCATAATTGCATTCCGCAGGGTTCATCTTGTGCGATAGGAAAGCAACTGGGCGGAGGACTCCTGTCGCGTCCTTCTGAGAGAGGATAGCTGCAGTAACGAAATCTGAGGCATCGGTTTCCAACCAAGTCTCTAGGTCAGGATCGAAGTGTGCAAGGACTCCTGCAGTCTTAAAGGCGTCCTTAAGTCGATGGAAAGCTTGTATAGCTTTGCTATCAGCGATGAGCGGGAACTGATGTCTCTGGTCCTTGCCTTCGCCATCCTTGCGCGTGAGTTCTGTCAAGGCTTTTGCGATGTAGGAGAAGCCTTTGATGAAGCGACGGTAGAAGTTGGCGAAACCAAGGAAAGACTGGACGTCTTTGACTGAGCGCGGTATTTGCCAGTCTAGTATAGTGGAGACCTTTTTTGGATCCATTTCGATGCCCTCTGTAGTGAGGATGAGGCCTAGGTACTTCACTTTCTTGACCTTGAATTTGCACTTCGTGGGATCAAGATGGAGGCCAGCGTCGCGTATCTTAGAGAGGACCTTGATGACGTCGGCTTCATGAACTGACTCGTCATCGTCGCAGGTGTATATAAGGACGTCGTCGAGGTAAGCTGTACAGATATCGTCAAGGTACTCGCGGAGTGTCTCATTGATAAAGGTCTGGAAAGTGCCAGGCGCATTGCAGAGGCCGAAGGGCATGACAACGTATTCGTATAGCCCATACCGAGTGAGAAAGGCTGTCTTTTCTTCATCGCCTTCTTTGATCCGAACAGTGTTGAATGCAGCCACAACGTCGACAATCGTCATCCATCGTACCTTGGCCATGCGGGCCAGCGTTTCCTTGATGGAGGGTGGAGCGTTGCGGTTCTTCTTGGTGATGGCGTTGAGCTGACGGTAGTCAACGCAGATGCGAAGTCCGCCACCTGGTTTCTTGACAACTAAGACAGGTGACGCGTACGGAGATGTGGACGGTCGGATGAATCCGCGTCCGAGCATGTCGTCGATGTAGGCCTTGATGGCCCTGGTCTCCGTTCGTGTGAGCCCATAGATCTTAGGCTTGTGAATGCGTCCGTCGGTGTCAATCTCATGGTCAACGCCTTCGCGATGAGGTGCCAACTTCCCTGCTTGTATAGGACTGAACAAGTCTGGCATCTTGCTGTACAACCAGTCTGGCACCAGTTTGCGGATCTCCGCTTCCGTCATATGTGGACTC